AAATTTGGGCCCGGGGGGTCTCCCTTTTTAAAGGTATTACTTTAAAACCAGAATTTTTTTGTTTAAATTTTGCGCCCGAATTTTAAATTTGATTCGGGAAAAAAATTTTTTTCCCCCTACCATGTTTTTAAAAAATAGGGCAATTTTATCATTTTTACTTCATTTTTTAAAAATTTCCCCTCAAATGGAAAAGTCCCTTTTTTAAAAATTGGTTTTTCAAATACATAAGCTAAAAACATGGGCTTTTTGTTGTCCTTTTATTTTGGGATGCCCATTTATTTTTTTTTGTAAGATCTATTTTAAAATTTAAATTTCATGTTTAAACCATCCTTTAAAGCTGTTAAAAAAAAAAAATCTTTAAAATTTTTGGGAAAACAGTTAACATTTTCTTTATACAAAATGAATAATTAAACCTTTTAAATTTTTGGGGGCGTTATTGTTTTTAATATTGAAGGAAACGTGAAAAAATTTAAAGTGAAAGATAAGTTTGTTGGGTATTTGTAAAAGGTTTTTTAAATTTTTTTTTTTTGGGGGGCCCTGGGGGGGGTTTTTACATTTCCCCCTTTTTTTTTGCCTTTATTCTTTTTTTGTTGGGAAATTTTTAATCTTAAGGGGGAAAATTGGGAAAATTATTTTTTAAACATCTGGTTTGAAGGGTACCTCTTATAAAAAACCCAAATATTTTTTAAAAAAAAGGGAGATTTTACTTAAACCTAAATTTTTCCCATATTTATAGCTTTACCAATCGAACATTTTAGAATCATTTTTAAATACCTTGGATTTACCTCCTTTTAAAAAAAGCAATTTTTGGGTTTTGAAATTTAAAAAAAGAAAAACTTTAACATGCCAAAAATTTTGTTTTGCATAAAAATGGGTTTTTTTTGTACATCAAATATATGGTTTAAATTGGTTTTTCCCCTTTTTGGGGAAATTTAATTTGGAAAATTTGGAAAAGCACGGGCTAAAAAATTTCAGAATTTAAAACCCTACAAAATTTTTCGGAATTTTTATGAGTAAAAAAAACTGGTTAAAAAATTTGGGGCAGCAAATTTATGGGGAGTTTTGGGTTTTTTTCCGTTACACCTTTAAAGAAAGAAAATTGATTTAAAAACCCCAAGGGGATTCTGCTTTTTTTAAGTCAGACCAAAAAATCGGTCGAACTTTTAACGGGAAAAATTTTTTGTTTTTTTTATTTTAAATTTTAAAACACGTTATCAAGTCCTTTTTTTTTATATTTGGGGGCAAAAATTAAATTTTAATGGATATGTAATATAATTTTCTGTTAAAACCCAAAATTTACAACCCCTTTTTTCAAAATTTGGGAGGGATCTATTTAAAAATTCAAACAAGATTTTCAGACCCCTTTAAATTTCATAAATTTTAAAATTTTATTTTCTAAATTTCAAACATAAAATATATAAAAAACATTACAAGGGGACGTTAACTTTCCCTTTCTTCTAAAAGGGGAAAAACTCCACAAAAACAAAATCAAACTGGTTTTTCTGTTTAATGTAAGAAGGGTTTTTCCTCCCCCGGTTTCATACATGTTTTAATATTTAAAAATTTTCGTTTCCCTTTAAAAAGTTATTGTTTATTCCCAAAAAAAACAAACCATAATTTTAAAACTATTTCATGGGTTTTTTTTGAAAAAACCTAAAATTTTGTAAGGGAAAAAAAATTTCAATGAATTAAAAAAAATTTTAAATGTTTAAATGCCCTACATCATTTTAAAAGTAAACAGGAAAAAGACTTTTTATATCATTTACAGGGGGAAAGTATGTCATTTGTTTAAAATTTCTTCCTTTAAAATGTTACCAAATCAAAAAATTTAAACAGGGGTTAAAAAACTTTTAATATATTTGGGATAGGGGCATTTTTACTTTATTTACTCAAATATCCCCGACTGTTTACGAAAAAAAGGGGGTTTTTTACCCCTATTTGATATCGTAAATTTAAAATGTAAAAGTTATTTTTGTGAAGAGACCAGTCTTAGTGGGATAATTTAAAAAAAAATTTTTCTTTAAAAACTTCATTCCAGTAAAAAAAAATTTTTTTTTGTTTTTTTTTATAAAAAGGCCAAATTTTTTTTTAAATAAAAACCATAAAAAGGGGGCATTTTTGTATTTTTTTTTTTTTTACAGGAAAAAATTTCCCCTTTTTGTTAAATTTGTTTCCCAAATTTAAAAATTGAATTTTAAGGGGTTTTTTTAGTAGCAAAAATAAAAATATGCAAAAAAAAAACCCCGTGTGTTTATTTTTTTAGAAAGTTTCAAACGGTTTTTGAAGTTTATAAAGCTTTTCTTCATCAAGATAATTTTTATTTTTTAAGTTGGGCATTGATGAACCCGAAAAAGCCCCAGAAAGGGGGTTAACATTTTACGAAAAACCCAAAAAACAACAAAGGAAAAAATTTTTAAAAAATTTTTTTGTATGTAAAATTTCGCCTTTTGTTATGTTTCACCCCTGTTTTTAGGGTCATAGAAAACTGTTAAATTTTTTACATTTCCTGTAAGTGAAAATTTCATGACGTAGAATTAAAGGGAAAAGCTTTTAATTTTAATTTTTTGTAATTTGGGGGGGGGGGGGGGGGGGGAGCAAATTTTTTTCATTCGATTTCACGTATTTGCGTTTTTAAAAAACCCATTCCCCTCTATAGAAAAATAACAAATGAATGTTTAAAAATACCCTATACCAGTTTATTGCCAAAGGAAGGGGGGACTAGAAAGGTGTTTTAAAATTTAAATTTGGGAAAAACCCTTTGGGGTATTATCGGAAAAATTTTAAAAACGAAAAATGGGTGTTTCCTTTGAAATAAAATAATAAACAAAAGGGGTACTTTTTAAAAAAAACATAGTTTGCCCTTTTGGGCGCATTTGAGCAAAAATTTTTGTGCCCCAAAAATGGGCAAATTTAAAGGGTTAAAAAAAATGCCCGCAATCTTACCAGTGTAAGCAATGGGCGGTTGCATTTTAATTTTTCCTACATTTTTTTATTTCCCAAATAAGAAAATTTTTAAAGCGTTCTTTTGGGAAAAAAAGTGCTCTAAATCAACTTTTATTAAACACCCAAAGTTTTGAAATTTATTTTTTTCCCCCAATTTTCAACCCTTTCCGGGTTTTATGTTTTAAAATTTCCCTTTTTACGTTTAAAAAACCCACTTTGAATATTGAAAAAAAATTATAAAATTGACCAAAGATTTTTTAAAAGGGTTTCTTTGCCCTTGGGGGTCAAAATGACAAAAGGAATGTCTTTTTTTATTTTTGAAAATTTGTTTCTTTAATAAGGGGGCCCTTAACCCACGGGGGTTTTGGGTTTTTTAAATGTTTAAAAAATTTTCAGTATAAATTTTTTAACAGTCTTTCTGTGAAATTTTTTGACATCCCCAAAGCCCCTGAAAAAAAAAATAGAGAAATTTTAAAAAGATTCCCGTAAAAAAAACGTTTCCAAAAAAGTCGGAAAATTTAAAAATGGGGGTAAACACGGCAGGGCTTTAAATTTCCGAGGGATCTTTTTTTTCCCAATTTATCTCAAAAATTTGGGCACAGGAAAATGACTGGGATGCCCAAAAAAAAAGGTAAACAGATTTGTTTTTCCAAAGGTGTCTGGTTTTTGATCCTCGGGCCAAGCAAAAATTTTTTCCGTGGTAAATTTATCTTTAGAAAAGTAGGGTTGCAATTTATTTTTCTTCTCACCACTGGGTTTTAACATAATGATAAAAAAAAGGAAAACCTGTAACCCAATTTTTTTTGTTTAGTACCCGTTTAAAAACCCATAGAAAAAAAGTCTCATATACACAAACACAGAAAAAAACTAACAGATCGAAAATAATTTTAAAAACGTTGGAACAAACAACTTAAAAAAAAACTACACTAAAAATGCTTAAACTTTTTTAAATTTTACAAGCTCAAGATAAATTGTTATAACACATTACAGTTTGTTTAAAAAAAACCCCTACATTGATGTACTTTTTCTTACTAAAATCACATAATAAAGCAAATAATAAAAATGAATTGGGGACATTATTTGAATTAAAATAACCTATTCTAAAAATATACTAACCCAGATTTGTGTTACAGTGGGTGTAGTGGTCACAGTGGGTGTAGTGGTAATTTGTCTCTCAACTACTAATTCAGACATAAATGATGGATAGAAGTAGTCTGTAACTTGTGGAAGAAAATCGTTAATTTTGTTGTTAGTTACCAGGAGAACTTTATATATGGAGCGACGGACAAAAACATATGAAAAATTCCAGACAAAAATCAGAAAAACCCGAAAGAAAACAAAAAAACACACATGTCATGAAAACTAATTGCAAAACTTTTGGAATAAACAATCTTTATATAAGTCAATGCTTAAATATTTTAGAACTTTATGTTTATTACTTTCTTAACTACACTATATCACAAACAACATGGATACAAATGATAAAAGAATTTGGGATATTATTTGCATTAAAGATACCTTGTTCTTAAAGATATACTTTTCTCAAATTTGAAGTTAGAACATCTTGGGGAATTTTAGGTTTTAATGAACGCAATTTCCAATACACAGTTTATTCATTCTTTTATTCAAATTAGGCATATACAGTAAGAATATTTATAGATTTCAATAAATTTACGTGATAAAGATAGTTTACGCAAGGATGAGCATAGCATATCTTTAACATTGTTCGTTTATATTCGTCGTTATTTATGTAGCATTTGTCTGCAAAAAATAAATAATAATAATGATAACATCGTACGTAAAAATAAAAAAGGAAAGTAAAAATCAAAGTTAATTTTCTATTTCAAGTTTCAGTGACTTGACTAAAGTAACTTATTCTCAAACTGGAAAGTGTTCGAGGTATCGCAGATAGCCATGTTATACAGCTATTTCAACACGAACATTGGTCTTCATATCATAAGGTCTAAAACTGATTTACAAACATTTTCCCATGTTGTTTTCATTTTGTATTCACCGTTTTCAAATGTCCACACAATCCTTACATTCCTTTGGTATACCTCTCTCATAGTTGGTGGCATCAGTTCTTGTTCCACTTGTTCAATAAACATCAAAATGATTGGTTTCCCTTCCATGAGCGCATGCTCAAGCTCACCTCTACAATAAACACTTTGACAAAAGTTTTCCGAAGCTACTACAATTAAAACAGACGCTGTCGCCAAGAGTCTCCACGTCTCATTTAGAACATAGAAACCAGGTCGAAAATGTCGGTCACCTGTACAAACTAGTTCTCTATCAACTCCTGTCATCAACTGAAGATTTTCATTCAACTGATGTAGAATATGCGTATTGACAAAGTCCTCATCTTCATTGCTGAAGGCAAGAAAAACCGCAAATTCATAGTAACCATTGCCCTGGCGTAACAAATTAATTACATTTGCTCTATTTTGTAACCTTTTTCTATGCTTTCTTCGGATATAAAATATCAGAAGTGCAATTATTAGAATAAGTGAAATACATCCCGCCAAAATGCTTGTTGCAATAATAATAACCTGCATTCGACAAATCAACTTGACTTTCTTGACAGTCTCTTGTGTTATTATTTCTGTTTCATCCTTTTCATTGTAACAAACCAGTTGCTGTGAATCAAAATCAACAAGATTGTTGACGTCAGCCAAACGAGAAATGATAGTTCTTTGCATTCTGAACACGAAATGGGATTTTTTTTTTAAAATAACAATGTTTTTCCCAATGTCAGTAGCATTACCGTGTGAAATGCTATTCAAGTTATGAATAGATATTTGGTCTAAGACATGAATTTTGTTTCCATGCAGATTTAACACGGTTAATCTCGACAATTCAACCAAAGTGATGTAAACTTGATCTAATAAGTTACCCGATAAATCGATAATTTCGATATTCCTATTATTCTCGAATATTTTCTTAGGAAGTTTATTTAAACTATTCTTTGACATGTTAACTTTTTTTAAATATCTGAGACCAGAAAATAAAGTTTCAAACAACCCTATGTTCTCTTTGGACATTTTCACTAACTGATTGCTTGACGCGTCTAATTTTTGCAGATTTGGAGAGCATGACAATAAGTTTGGATGTAAAAACTGCATACCATTCTGAGATAAATCCATGCGACTGAATGATGAAAATTTAAATTTCTTACATATGACATTCATGTCAAGCCACCTTAAATTATTTTGCCTCATTATTAATTCTTTTGTGAATGTCAAAGGATTTAAATCTATTGTAAAATTGACACTTTTTATCCAAATTGACGAAACATGTGGAATGATTCCGCTCACATTTATAATTTCAGGAATAAAAAGCCGTTTGAAGTCTTCAACATGAGGAAGACTAGATAAACTAGTATTTATATTCTCCCAATTTAAGTCTACCTGGTGGAAGATGAAATACTTTCTTCGGAAGATTCGCGAAGCTCAAATCAACAAATTTTAATGCGTTTCAGGTCGCCTTGCTCTAAATAACATGTGTTTGAAGAAACCAATATTACTGTACGATGCGTTCACGACCTCCAAGTAGGCTAATCGTTTGAATACGGCAGTCAAATTTATTCCTTTTAGATCAGTTTTACTCACATCCACATACTTAATTTTCTTTGGCTGAAGTACTTTTATGAATTGGTCATCTATAGACAACGGTTGTATATAACGAGCACATTTTGATAATATTAATTTATTCAATTCCGGCAACTTATTAGATCCATTAAGAGCTGGAATTAAATCATCCAATGTTAATTTTACACTCCTGCTTAAATCCAGAACGTGTAAGTTATTAATGCCAAGGAAAGTGTTAGGATTCATATCGAATGGGCATTCGACATGCAGCCTCAATTCTTTCAATTCTTTCAGACCAATAAAACAGTAATCTTGTAAAATCAAGTGACCTGCTTGTGAGGCATTGATCTCCATAAGTTTTACTTTATTCCAAGAATATTCAATGAACGTAGACTTGTTCAGATACATGTTACCCACCAGGCTCAAATTCAAATGCACTGTCGTGACTCCAACTGGAAGAGACTTCGGTATAAAGTTACAAGTCAATGTTTCATTGTTGTCTTCAACACATTTGGTCTTCGTCGAATCATATTGAGAAAATCCGTTAGTGTATGCCATTAAAACCATTAACAATAAAATGTAGGAAACATATTTAATAGTCATCATTTTTGTATGTTTTTTAGTGTTTGTTTATATTAAAACCCTCTTTGTAAATACTGCTCGATATATCCAAATTATATTTAGATTCAATTGTTATTTCAATTTCACGAAAATTAATCCACGGAAAGCCCTCATATATATGCTCTTATGGTCGCATGTAATCTTTGGAAAGCTACCCTTCGGTTATAAATATCAGATGTACAAAACATATTCTCAAAATAATTTAAACTGATGGCGGTTAAGGTCGTCAGTTTAAAACGAACAATGATCTCGATCAATGTATTAAACTACTATTGAAGTATGTTAGGTCGATTGTATGTGGTTAATGTCGTATAATGACCAGTCACAATAATTAGTGCGTGAAAATCAAATTAAAAAGAAATTTTGGAACACTTCACTTAATATCGTATTTCGGTATACACCGAAGAAAGCGCTTGAATTATTAAATATTAAGTCGAATTGTACGTTTAGACGTTTATTTAATCACTTCAAACCGATTTATAAATAATAATGAATGAAAAATGTCGGCGAGAAAAGCAATAATTTTCTAGTTTGTGATCATTTCTACAAGCGTACTGCTCCAAATCTGGACATGTAGTGAGTTAAATCCTCATAATTAAACAAGATGCTTTCTTGTTGTTCCTCTTTTGTAGAAAAAAATATAACATATTTCTTTATAAAGATGCTTCCACCTGAAATTTGAAGGATCATAAATGCCTTTATTTTAGTATTTGTGACAAGACAAAATGTTATAATTTAAACATTGATCTCAGACTTGTTGTAAATGCATGCTTAATAGAAGTTGTGTTTTTTTTTTTCGTAAATGGTACTCTTTTTTATCTTACATTGATGTTTCTAAATTCCAAATTTTACCATTTTATGTTAAATTTTGAATTCTGTTTAAGCCGGTTCTTGGGAGGGGGGAGCGTGGAAGGTAACTTGCACCTTCAAGCACCGCCCATGAACAGCCTCAATGAACACAGTTATGGCAAAATATCAAGTTAGTTTTAGTTCTTTACCTGTACACTTACTTGTACACTTGGATTGACATCAAAGTACTTTATTATTAGTCTACAACACGTGTATGTATCAAAATGTGTGTGTGTGTGTGTGTTTAAACTGTTAAGTTGTTGTTTGGAATGGGTTTGTTTTAGCATGTTTATCATCAGTTGAACCAAAATTATCTATTATTTTCTGGTTAGAACAAGTATAGCAAAATTTGTTGAATGCTGAGAATGTATATCAAACATGCTTTGTTAACGACAAGATTATTTAAATGATTTGTGGAAGAAATATCAAATATATTTGAGGAGAGCAATATCAGTAACGTGTTTTTGTTTCTATTAAAAATGCGATGCTTCAACTTTTGAATCATTTTGCTTAACTTGAGAACCGCTCAAGTCGATACTAGGGGACTTGAGGAATATTGCATTTTTTCATTATCTCTCATGTACAGACTCAATCAAACCGAATCTTGCAATTTTCATGTAATTTTGCTGTTTTTAATGCTTCCCAGTGATCACCTTTTTCTGGGTATTTGTTTATAATTATTTGCTCTGTATGTCATTTTTGTCACAAACATATTTAAATATTTTTATATTGGTTATACCGATGTGCCTTGCATCAGACTGAGAAAAAATCTGTTCTGTCCTTTTCTGTTCTGCTATTAAGTAGTAGGTACTGAGTTGATATAAATGAGTGTGATAAATAGTGTACTTTTATATAAGAATTATTTACACTATCTATATTAATATTGATTTAAACTGATAATGAAAAGAAAAGCGAATTTAAATAACATATCTTGATTGAGGTCATATTTCGTTGTAAACTGTCTTTCATAACATTTATCCCTTTAAATTGTTTTGAGAAGTAGATTATGTTCTTTTGATATTTGTAACTGAAGCGATTTGTAACTGAAGCATGCGGCCATTATGGCATTAAAGTGAGGGTAACATGTGCATTTAGTAACTATCAAATTTAAACCTTAATTTGATATATCAATCAGTATTTACAAAGAGAGTTTTAAGATGATAAAAGTAAAGTAGTACATAAAAATGGTGACTATTAACGTGTTTCTTACGTTTTGTTGTTAATGGTACACATTAACGGATTTACGTACGATTCGGATTCGACGAAGACAACAAAACATTGACTTGCAACTTTATATACCGAAACCTCTTCCAGTATGAGTCTGGAAGAAGAAACCTATCTTAATTTTCCATTCATCGAATATTCTTAAGACAGAGCAAAACCTCTGTATGTCATTTGATTTTTACAACTGTTCGAATATACTGGAATAATTGAAAAAATTGAGACTGCATGTCAAATGCTCAATTGACAAAAACACTAACACTTTCCTAGGCATAGTCGTTCTAGATTGAAGCAGGAGTGTAACATTTTCATTATATAATTTACAGAGTATGTCACTTGGTTTTACTAGATTACTGTTTAATGGTCTGAAAGAATTGAGGCTGAATGCCCATTCGATATGTATCCTAACACTTTCTCCCTGGCATAAATTACGTACACGTTCTGGATTTAAGCAGGAGTGTAAAATTTACATTAAATAACCAAATTTCAGCTCTTAATGAATCTGATAGGTTGCCAGATTAATAAATTGATATTATCAAAATGTTCCCGTTATACACAGCCGTTGTCTATTGATGACCAATTCATGCAATGGGGGTGCATGGAGATAACACAACGCAATTACTTTATAATACATTTACCATCACATCGACTAATACATTTATATCGGTGATGTATGAAGTTGAAAAAGAAACGTGACTTTCGACACCTTAACTTTAAAAATTGTTGTAATTGGGGTTTATAGAGATGGTCATAGGATAAGAATGCTAGCTTACTTAGTGTAACCACTTTAGATAATGATCTGGTGTTTTGTAAGTCACGAAAACCCAAGTCGATTCAGCATTATGATGCAACTAACCATTGATGATCATATGAGCCATGTCATGACAAAACCAACATAATGGGTTTGCGATCCGCATGGATCCAGACCAGTCTGCACATCCTCGCAGTCTGATCAGGATCCATGCTGTTCGCTATCAGTTTATCTACTTGTAATAGGGTTTGTAAGCGAACAGCATGGATCCTGATCAGACTGCGCCGATGCGCAGGCTGGTCTGGATCCATGCTGGTCGCAAACGCATTATGTTGGTTTTGTCATGACACGGCTCATACCAGTCGACTCAGTTCAGTTATAAATAAAGGAAAAAGTATTTACTTGGAAGCAAAACATCACGTACATCTGTCCAAATGTCATCATTTGTTATATTGGGGTCAATCATCAACAAGATGATCTGGATCAGTAATAACCATAATTGCAGATAACTCGAAAACGAGCTAAAAGAATCGCTAAATTATTTTCGATTTCATTGCAACAATCAAAGATCCTGTAAAGTTTTAAAATCTATTTTGTTGTTTTCATTCCGCTCCATATCTACTGGTATATGTTAATCTAATGTTTACGCCTCCAGTACGACAGCAATAATATTTATTATGATAACAATAGCAATGAAAGTCTATACATTGTCATAAAATTAAAAGATATATTACGATTTAATTGTTATGATAATAATAAGGAATGTGTAGAATCAGTTTGATAATTTTTTTTTTTTGATAATTAGGAACGGAATACGACAACGATAATTGCCATTCAGTTTAAACAACACAATGAGAGGACTTGTCCATTGCCGATAGTATATCAAAATTGAACTTTTTATCATCAATTATTTTGCAATATTCGAATGTTATCTTGGTACTTGATAAAGGTCTAGTTAAGTCTAAGGGATGACCCATGTATTTTTACCCATATATAATATCGGGGGCCCTTTTTTTTTGGGTTTTTGGGGATTAATTAAAATACTTAATTTTTATGTCGAAAAAAGGGAAATTTTAACAAATGATAAGATTGCCCCCCATAAAAATTTGACCGGCCTTTTTGACTTTTAAAACCTGGAGTGTGGCATGCGGCCCAAAATTTTAGGGGCAAAAGAGAATTATAATTTAAAATGATAATTATTTTTAATTTTTTCTTTTGGTTTTAAAAATGAAAAATTTATTTTTTTAAAAAAAGAAGTAAAAAAAACACCTGACAAAAATTTTTTGGGGGCTGCTTTTTAACGATTTTTTATACTTAAAAAATTTATTTTTAAATAAATATCCAAGTTTTTGGCTTGAAAAAAAAGTGATAAGGGTTTTTTAAATGTGTTTTTTTTTAGCTTGTTGTTGTTGTTGTTATAGAGAACTTTATATCACAGTCATGAAATTCTTGATTTATAAAAGGTGATATAGAAACTTCACCACTAGAATCAACATCATAAACTTTGTCACTAAATATTTACTCTTTCTGATTTTTAAGACATTGAACCGCAAAACTGGTACACATTTATTTCTATCGAGAACATATTTTTTTTTTGAAATACAGATTTATTTTCCATACACAACCTGGACGTGAAATTTATCAGACCTCGCTTATCTTAGTAAGATATTTTGTATTCTATTTAATCATAAAAGTGTTTTGTATAAAAAGGTTTTTTCAAAGTAAAATTTTATAAAATAAAGCATGGGGTTTTAAAATATACGGGGAAAAATTTTGAACACCCGGGTTTAAAATTACTCTTATTTCCCCGAATTTAGCTTTTGAAATTGGCGTTCCCCCCGGGGCCCACAAGGGGTTAAAAACACCACAAATTAATCCGCCCAAACCCCAAAAAACTAGCTAAATCATGTACAAATACTCACTTCAAAAAATTCACCTCGAACTGGCCCAAACTGTTTCATTCATTTTGATACTGAAGTCGTGTTAGGGCCTCCTCGTGGCCTCTGGGACATATGATAAGATATCCATGTACATGTATAGTATGCCGACGAAACGAGGGCATCATAATTATTCCGCCTAAGCACATTGAACTGTCGAAAGTGTGGTCAAAATGTTTGTTACTTGTAACAGGTAAGTTTTTAAGTATTTATTTTTATTATTGTTACCTATCAAATATATATATATATATATATATGTATGTTTTAATATATACATGTATATAAACTTTTCTGAACTTTTCTGAAGATGTTATTTTGGTGAATTCAAAAGTACCTAACTGTCGTGAGGGTAAACTACCCAACATCACTTTTCTGAGGAAATTTCTAAGTTTATTTTGAACGCTTTTTAATGTCCTTCAAGTATTAAGACATTTTGATGCTATGGAAAAAAAAAAACTGGACCAGAATGAGTAAATTGAATCTCGAGTCAATACATTCGATCCTATGAGATCTTATTTTCATTTAAAACTTATTAGAACCATTCAGTGCAATCAAAATTAAAAATTAGGGTGAATTTTCGTGAATTCCGCATGTGTAAAAAAAAAGTTAAACATAAAAAAACCTTTACAAATTTTGGAAAAATAATACAAATATGGAAAACCAAAAAATGATAAGGTAAAAGTTTAAAATTTCGAATGTTAATTTGTTGAAAGCGTTCCTTTTGAAAAAGTCCGGAATATTAACCCGGGGTTTAAAAATTTCTTTCCCTTTTCATATCAATTGTAAAATCAGCTTTGAATTTTTTAAATTAAATTTTTCAATGAGGGACACCCAATTTGAGAAAGATTTTTCACTGTTTATCATTCATCGTCGCATAAAAAACAAAAACAAGAAAAACAAACAAACAAAAAAAACAACCAAAAAAAACAACAACTTTAAAACAATTAAAAACAAAGAAAGATAGAAAGTGAAATAAGCATAAGATGACGTAACATGTGAAAGTTAGTGTCAAATCTAAAAAAGTGAGAATTCTAACTTATGGGTATCGTACATTCGACTTTAAATTGTGATCGAGCTTTTTTTGTGCACGGAATAGGACTCGTCAAGTTGGAAAAAAAACACATTTTGCTTTGTTTTGTTTAATCTTTATTTTTTTATCTTATCTAACATGTTATTCGTTTTCAGCTGCCCTTCTTGTGTTCGGCACAGATGCCCTATTGTTCCCACTTAACAACGGAAATGGTAAGTGCATTTAATTCTGAATAACCGATTGTTTCATGAAAGATCACTTTACTAACGTGCAGTATTATAATTTGAGATAAATATAAATATATATAATTTATAAGAGGAGTTTTGAAGAATAAGATCAAGGGGATAAACGTACTCTCTTTAAAACAGCAATATTAGAAGGTTTCGATAAAAATGTCTTATCTTTCACATACTGATATTTAATGGTACCGGAAACTATTACTCCTATTATTTAAGCTTTATCAAAGTTCTAAATATGTAAAGATGCTGTTTAAATAAAAACGTGTGCTCAATTTATGGCCATATATTGCAAGTATTATTCGCCAGTTTGAGATGGTCGAGTTGAAATACGATGACATTGGGTGTACGAATTATCATTATGTTAGACATAAAAGCAAGAGTGATATTAATTTTGTTATGTATTAAAGTTTATGGTTCTTAATTTCAAAATGATTGTAGATGAAACTTTTATAAAGCATAGGTTTTTACTTTTTGCATCAAATTACTGGTAAACCACGTGACAGTTTAAACACCAAAGTAAATAAAATAAACGCATCTTATACCTTTTTGATAGGTCATTTGAAAGTATCAGTCAAAGACAAGCTTTCTATCAAGGAATAACTTTCAATTTTCATTGATAGAATCCTGCTGATTAGATTCTATTTAATTGTTAACAAAAAATAAGAGATGAGGACGCTAACTTGTACATGAAAGAGAACCTTAAGTCTTTCTTTACCAGTCAAGCATGACCTTAAGATAGTGTGACTTAAAACAATTAAAATGCTGCGTTCCCCTTTTTAAAACAGTTTAAAACCCGTAGTAATTGCCCCCTCTTTAAAAAAGGAGCCCTGTCAAAAAGGGGCCCCACTTCAAAAAACCCTTTATTTTTTTATATAAAATAGTTACCCCAAAAAAAAGACGACTTGTCTCTAAAGGTCATACCCGGTCTCACCTTAGTGTAGCCTTTATTCTCGGGTTTAACTGTATATAATTTCCATTTCTATTTTTAGAGCCAGAACCAGAGCTGATCTTCGCATGTCCTCCACCTGTTGTTCCACAGTTCGGCAGTCTCAGATGTGATTATGGCATGTTTGAAATGTAAGTATAGATATTTTATGCTAAAAAGGCTTTCGTGTCAAATTTGCCAGAGACAGATTTGATATGACACTTTGACTGGAAATCATGAAATGAAAGATTCGACTATTTTAATACCATTAAAGAGAAACTGTCGGTGATTGTTTTCAATAGTTTTTCGTTTTCTTTGTTTTATATGTTTTTCATTCTTATAGAGTCATTATCATTTAAAACATGAAACTTCCGTTATTTTAAAGCCTTTCCAAATTCTGTTCACCTTGTCTGAAATAATTATACTTATAATCGTATTTCGAAACATAGTTTTTATCATAGGCAGATGTTTATATGATGTGATATATGTATGTCAATGAAATGTGTATGATGATGATCTGTAACTGGTCAAATCAATTAAAATGTATTGTTGTTTTGCTGATATTACCGTATTTTCACTTATTAGGAACTGTTCGGCCATGTGTAATAATGGTTTCCAGTTTGAGGATGGCTCACACACTGCCACTGTTAAATGTGATTTATTTGAAGGAAAATCTACACCCGACATTCAGAAATGTGTCAGAATAGGTAAATTGTCTTATTTTCTTATTTCCTTAGTAAAGATATGTATTGAAAAAAATCATATAATATCTTATATCAGATATGAGTTTGTAATACCTCAAATGCCAATAAAATTAATTAAAAAGTTGTTTGAAATAATGATAATTATGATATTATATTTAACAATTATCAAGTCAAATTTTTGAAATTTTAAACATGAATTTAAAAAGTATGTCATAAAGATGATAAATTCTGCTTATAAAAGATGTTAAATACAATGTATTATTTCACTCTTTTTTAACATTTTTCGGACTTTTTACATCAGTAACCATAGTGATCAATCTTACAGTCTCTATAAACATAGATGAGTAAATTCCAGATCATATTAGACCCTTATTGACAACACATGATGTAAAAGGCGTGGCCGAGTGGTTAACGCGTCGGACTAGTAATCTAATGATCTCTAGCCGCATGGGTACAAACCTCTTCAGCGGCAGGTCGTTGTTTCCTTGAGCAAGAAACTTTACACTCATTGCTCATTACTGGTTGGTTCCAGGAACGGATTCGAAAGTATGTCTATAAGCGTATAGTTTCCTACACAATCGAACTAAAATAAATTCTGTATAAACCAAAAGGTATGATATTAGTCCATTTAATAAAAAGAAAGAAATTCTATGCCTCAGTAAAACAGAGATTGAAATATTCTTTTTTTTTATTGCTGACCCTTTTTTCAAAATGTTTTATTTTTCTCATTTCTAGGAGGAGTTGTTACCGACGCCCCAGTTGTAACTGATATCCCAATTGGCTCGATCACTGGTGTTCCATCAACTGCCAAAAACTGTGTTCGATCCCTGAATGACTGTTTCAGTGTGCCAGCCGGTGATTATGCTTATTGTGAAAATTGTCGTATGTTTGCCACGTGCGCCGGAAGTGGATTTTACGTTCGTAACTGCCCGGGAATTTCCGTATTTAATGCAGCACTGGACCGATGCCAGGACAATAGCCCAACATCATGTAGACTCATTGTCTAAGATTATTTACATGGTTATTTTCATGTTTAGTCATTTTGATTTAGTAAGACTCTTAAACATTTCATGTGAGACATTCATAAATAAATAGATAAAATGATAAAGTGTCCTCTATTACTCTTTACCTGCCGGATTTAACAGCCATTGAATAAGAAAAGAATAAAGGGGTTCTTTTTGTTAAATTGTATACTCGTGCATTTTTTCTTGGCAATAGTAAGTAAGAAGTGTACTGCTTAAATACATTAATTACATTTATTTTTGGCAAAGTACTTCAGAGTTTATGAATAGCCAAAACTGAAATGGTATACATTTTAATTATAACACTTTTTTCCAACAACCTTTACATATCTACTATGCCATATTTCACCAAAGTTTGTGAAGAAATCGACGATGCCATAAGACTTCAAATTACACTATATTATCTACGATGCCATATTTCAGCACGTAGTTATTTCTGATCTGTTAGATTTTTTATAAAAATTTGAAGTAATAATGAATTCACTGATATTTCTCTTTGCGCACACGCTCTTTACCACACTAAAAAAACTTATGGATGTGTCCTATGTTAAATCTGGAAAATATTTATCATAAATTGATTTTAAAAAAAAAGAAAGGAAAAAGTACTGACTGACTAGCGAACAGAGTAGACCATGATTTTGATATGCTCTAGTTGCATGAGAATGCAATTTAAAGTTAACTACTGCCCAATCACGGGTTAAAGGCCCATTATTCGGCAGAAATGCTTTTTTTAGTTGCATGAGAATGCAATTTAAAGTTAACTACTGCCCAATCACGGGTTAAAGGCCCATTATTCGGCAGAAATGCTTTTTTTATAACTTTGATGTCATGTTAGATCTATTTTTCAAAAAGTTACTCATTGGCCAATTACCTGAACCATCATCAGCTTCTGTTGCTTTTTGGATTTAGTAGTTTGTATGGAAGTCAAAATACTACTTTAATTACATTTAGTTTTTACATATAATCAGCGCCGAGTGTTGATTTTATTACATAAATGACAATATTAGTCTATGATGACCTCAAATATGGCTTTTAAAAATAAAGGAAATGAATATCTACAAGAACATTGTTTTCTATCACAAATGTGATATACGTTATCTATTAATGCCACCGGACACTCAAAAGAGCGTCTCAACTCTCAATCCAGAAGACTGATGGTACTGTCATCTTCATTTCTGGCGGATAGTGACAACTGAAACAAAATTTCTAAAATGTAAAATACCTCTCCTCTAAGTTGACTAAAACTTTAAATTAGGCGTTGGAAAAAAACAAGTCCCATGAAAAAAAGAATACATATAATTGTTTCCAATAATCCAGATGTAAATAACTTGCAGATAATATGTGCAAGTATAATTTGGCTAAGTTTGACCCTCCTTACACAATATGACGATGGTATTTTTGTTTGCGAAGCCATGCTTTTTACATGTACACACATGATGATGTTTGATTCACTCAAAAGTATAATATATAACGCTAAATTTGACTTATCTAATACTGTGAGACAACTAAACTTTTAATCATCTGTCCATCGTTTACGAAGTCAAATTTTTTACATGTACACAGACGATTACTAGTATGTTTGATTAAAATAAAATGTCAAGAAGAAAGAACATATTCTCGGGAAAAAGTTCGGCGCATTTATTTAATATAAATATATCAAATGCACAAACAAACAGTGATAACGAACACAATAATAAGAATGCAAGTGCACGTGTATTTCTGCAGCATATGAAATACTCAAATGTTCATGGAAGAAAAAAACAAAAAAACAATTCTTCTTCGGCGGGTCAATAACAACAAAAACATTTTAAGTCACAGTGCACGTAAATGACTTGATCTAAGGTCCGCTGCACGTGGATGACCGGAACTGACAGCTCTTCACATTGTCGTCCCATTTCAAGTTGAGAGGACAAGGTCTTGGCCACAATCCACTGGCAGCGCACGTGACATAGTGACTACACCCTTTGCAACCTTGGTAGTCGCCTTCTGGTTTATTGAAACAGTCATTTATGTTGCTCACACATCCACCTGGGGAATAAAAAAATTCATAACATAAGAGCGAAAGAAGTTCATAGTTCAAACTATAAACCGATTTACCCATTTAGCTTTATCACGTCTAATTCTAAGTCACTTTTGATATCGCCCTACATAATTGTATGTTACAGAGATGTTAAAGAAAGGGTGATAATGCAAAGCGCACGTGGCATGAAAAGATACCCGTATAAAAAATTATATTGTTACAGCACTTAGATGTTTAAGTATTCTTTACTGCGTTTGATAATCATATGGTAAAACCTCTGTTGAGCAACACCCTTTGGGAGATAAATATTTTGGTAATTAAGAGGTAATTGCTTTACAAAGGGTCACTATGCAGGGGTTATACTGTATTTGAATAGATATTGAATAAGTAATTCCTATATTTTTGTAATTAGAGTTTAAAGTTCAGATAAGTCTGACACTAATCGAGAAATTTCGTTAATTGGAGAGGAGATCTTGTCGTAAAATAAGGAAGAGAATAAATCCAACATACCAACAAATATATTGCCATTTGTGCTCACTACAGGTACACCAGGACGAGTTGGCAGCGCAATATGTACTGAAATAAATGAATTAATATACTAACACTGTCAGTGATTTGTTTTCATGGCTATTTATTTATAAAGCTAAACGTATGTTTTTATCTTCTTATGGAAGTTAAACATATGAGTTTTTCTTATGAAAGTGAAACATAGCCATTTTGACTTATGGAAGCTTAACCTCGAATATTGGCTTATAAAAGGTAAATCTATGATTTTTAACTCATGAAAACAAAACTTAGTAGTAAATTTTGACCTATCAAACTAAATCTAAAAATTTTGATTTATTAACCTATGAATTGTTAGTTATATTTCTAGAATTAAAATACAATTTATTCAATGAATGAATAGTAAAATCCAATTTCATTATTAGGAAGAAGTCCTATTGAAAAAAAACGCTTTCTTGAATCTTAAGATATCATAATAATGCGAAAAAAGTTCCTTCACAATTTTATCATTTATGATACCGCTGTAGAGAAGAATCATCAATTCATTTATGTTAATATATATGTCTTAATAAAAGAAGTACCTGTTGGTGGTGGTTTGGGTGTTGTTGTTGATTGTGACATTGTTGACGTCTGCATTTTGGTCGTAGGAACAAACGCTGCTGTAGGCGGGGTTTTCGGATTGATGACTAATGATGGCGTGTTAACTGGCGGTTTCCAATCTGATACATAAACAAAACAAACATATGAGGCAAAAAACAAGGCACATTTTTATTGTACAATGTACAATATACATTATGTCTAACAAATATAGAGGAGGAATGACATTTAATATATTTTAAATCATATCACCACGAAGAAACATGTGTCATATCTAGGATTCGAACTCACTATTCCGCGGTACCTATGTATGCATACCTATGACTTAAGAATTATATTGCGTCTATCGAGAAAGGGACAAAAACAGATGATGTAAACATTTATGACAGTAGGACATTTTTGAACTTCCAAATCTTCCGGTGAAATTAACAAAAAATAGTTGAAAGTATGAACAATCTACCCCCGGATTCATATGGAACGTATATACACTTACATTTATCTTTCTCACATATGAAATTTCGTTTTAAATCACAGTTGTCATCATTCAGTTCTCTATTCCAGAAATCCCCGCAATGTTCACCATATCCGCCGTTGTCTGGCTGGCCCTTTTTCCATGGTCTGAAAGAAAAAAAGTCCCTCTTAACATGTTAGGTATTCCGTCTATATGTATATACCTTTCACAAAGCAGTCAAACTCGTTCTCATCCCTTTCTCTTAAATATTTTTAACTTACATTGAACTTTATTTCATATGGGTATTTACATTTCAAGCAATAGACAATGTACTTGAATAAGATTGTCAAATATTTTGCATAAAATACGAGTTTCATTTCTCTACTGATAACATAAGAATAGAAGTTTCCAAGGAAACATACGTTTCTTTTACCGTCCTTTATGTCTTCTACCAAGTGTTTGGAGGAGAATGAACGCGTATCATTAACCCAAAACTACGACATTGATGTCTAAATAAGCACCAAATGAGCAAGATTTGTCCGAGAAGGCTAAACCCTAACTTAAAATATTCACGTAATTACTTACAATATTTTCGTATCAAGAGCTTTTCCGTCCGTCCATTTATAATCTTTGGTGTCCTTCCTGGGGACATTACTTAACCCAATCCACCATAAACTAACAGGACTTGCACTGATCTTCTTCAATATAAAGTCCTGCAACATACCAAACTCTCTAGTGTAAGACCTTGTCATTGTATTGACCAGGGGGGAGGGTGCTCACGTGACATTAGTGTAATGCTAATAGTGTAAATTACCATTATATCTTTGATAAGGTCATGATTGATCTTTTAATGTAATGGAGATTTGATATTACAATACATATTGAATGATTTATTTTGGCGACATTTCTCAAATTACATTAAAGACTTTTCAATGCCTAGTTAATATATTTCAAAGTATTCGGCAATCTTTTTCCATTCCAAAATATTCCTGTAAATCACTAGTACATTAAAGATTCCTACAAGACGATCGTAACTTATTTATTAGATGCATGTAATAAATGTCTAGTTTTCGAAGCTGGGTATCGACCTCACGCTCCCCGGATATGACGTCAGGCAGACTATCCCGAAAAGTAGACAATCCAAACATGTGACATAAATCTTACCCGTTCCGGAATAGATTCAATATCTACAAGATGTCCATGGTTCAATAAACATATTCGGTTGGAGTCCTTCCACGAAAGAGTTTTGTTGGAGAAAAGATAGCATGTGTTTGTTCCGGGTAACTCCACCCAGCCCGGGTCACATTTGCCAAGGTCAGCTGATATAGAAATATATTTCATGATTAAGTCAGGATTACAGAATAAATCAGAAGTAGGAACAATAAAAGAAATTTTGTGACGAGATGATTTTTTCCCGCCAAATGTAACATTTGGAACACCTTACCGACTCCAAATACTAAGTAACATGCTTCCGTTGTTTGGTGAAAAGGGCCGAAAAGTTGTGATTGCTTTCGTAAATAATTAGTGATTCACAAGTTAACATACTCATTTCATCAACATTTTTTTTAAAAAAAAGGATGAATCAAAATAGCATGACTCCAGATTCTGGCAATTTTAATTCATTAAAATGTAAACTATTGTCAACCGAACAAAGAAAGTAATTTAGAAATTGCAAATGGCACTTTAGATAAAAAATAACGAAAACTAGGTCATTTGTAAAAATAGCACTTACTCCGTTAGTCACGCAGTAGAAATATGGTCATAACTGCAAAATCAGTCATTAATTGCAAATAACATGTGAAATATTTATTGAATTATGAATGCCTTTACTTTTCTTAAAATAATAGTACATTTTTCTCAAGGTTTATGTTTTAAAAGCATGCCGCTTAAAAGTTTCTGACGCATTTCCTACTTGCAATTTCCTACCACTATAAAAAACCCAACTTTTTCACTAACATTTTCCGTTTTTCAATAATCTGTATAACATTATACAAATAAATTGAAGCCGATGGACAAAGAAATTTGCTACCTTGTCCTTTGAATTAGCTCTTCTATGTCCCTTTGTGCAATAAATATTTAAATTTTGAAATTCTTAGATGAACTTATTTCGATATTTATGCCACTAAATCCTTTTCTTTCATTTACATGTACATGTATATTATTTCGTGCATATCCTATATCGCACATACTGGATAACAAATGCATTAATATTTGAACGGCATTCCGATACTTAGATATACATGTACTTATTTAATTTGAAAAATCGACTTATTTAAAAATCCTTTTTGCAAACTCACGTGCTCAATGTCAAAGGTCAAACTTACTGGTGATGGCCTGGCAGCCGATGGCATCAAACCTCAGAGCAATTTGATTATGCCAAGACTGTGGTTGAATCCTCAAAAATCTTGCTATAAACGGGCAGTCAAACATGTGGGTCACTAAGGAATCTTCATCTATATTTCCCTTGAATAACTGTCAAATAAAATGCCACCTTATGTTTTATTATATGTTATGATGTAAAAAAAGCACAGAGCAGATTGTGAAGGTTAAAATTAGCTGTGTAAGCCCTTCAAAGGAAGCCTGGCATGGTGTCTGTTTTATGCAAGAAAATTAATGAACACGATTACTTTTCTGCATGTTTTTCTTTCAGTTTGTTATTTTATTTCATTTGAAGTAGATCTAAGTTTATTATTAGACATGCATTTAAAAATACTTTATGCCAAAAATAATTTCAAGTTTTACCATATCTTTTCCACTTGCGTCCTTGACAGTGTCCCAGTTTCTCCCGTCGTTGCTATAGGATACCTTGTACTCGGTGACCCTTTGTACACAACACAAGGTCAATGGGTTCAAGTGGCGTCCTTGTGTAACCACGCCGCGAACGAGACTTGGGCGCATAAATTCAACCTGAAATTATTTTTGTGTAAAATAACATTTTAAGGAAGTGGATGGGGACGTTAAAGGGAAAGATAATTAGAAATCTATATTAAGTCAAAACAGAAGACTTTTGATTAAGTCCACAATTATATCTCTAATGTCGACATTCAATGATTTTTTGTTTACACCATTGCTTGTCTGTAGAGGATCTTTCAATGAACGACAATTTGGTAGGTAGTTGGTAGTTGGATATTCGAAAATACAACTACCTACTATAGCTGTTAGTAAGTTATTCGTATTTCCCAACTATTTAACAGCAGGTAACTGGTTATTCAATCCATTATTACCAGCATGAAATGTTTGAACGTATCATACATTATTAAACACAGAATAAAGGAGGGGGACCTAGTTAGTTATTCGCGCGAATCCCCAACTACATACCAGAACGTAGTTGGCAATTCGAACCCTCAAAACAGATAGTAGGTTTATTAGGAGCTTTGAGAGCGAATCAAAGCACCGAAAGCACTAATGTCCGGTAGCTGAAATCGACACGTGTTTCGACTGACACGATTGTGTTGTACACATAGAAATGAAATTAGCTTTTATGGTTTATTGTAGAATTGTATGTATTATTCTGCCTTTAATTTATTCGATCATTTTATTTGAGGCGTATGCTTCCTTAAATTCAGTCAGAATAAATAATAAATCTTATCATCATCTTAATTTGACATCGTACTTTGAAATGTAAGTTGAAACTATATTTATAGTTGAAAGATGTTTAAAAAGTATCGACATCTAGACTTAATAAAGCTGATTCTAGGTTACACTGGATCATAAAGTTTACCCAATGGCAACACCAACCTGGATGTATTGGTTTTTGTCTGGAACGCCTGCTGTCCAAGCACCTCTATAAAAAGTTCCATTCCCGTAATCATAAGCTGTAGTAAACAAACGGGACCTGTCTGGTCCGTTGTTGTCATTTGGAAGATGTGAACTCCACGAACTTGTTGCTGTCAAGTGACTGTCTGGAACGCCGTGCTGTCCGGAAACAAGATACTCGTGACACGCTTGTGCCCCTGCATAAAAAACAATTATGTTTTATGCAACCTGTTGATTAGCCTTCTTTTTTATTTAACCTATTAATTTGCTTTCTTTTTTCTTAAAATCCGTTAATGTGTCTTCCTTTTTTTAAAAAAACCCGTACATTTGCCTTCCTTTTTCATGTAACCTGTTAATCATCCTTATTTTAACTCGAGTATTCATGTTATCTTAACAAAGTTGTTGGCATTTAAGTGCATAAACACATGTGTTTATTTACAATGATAATAGGTAAACAAAAATACTTCTTACAACAATAAATATATAAATGAAAAATGAATAAGCAACTAAATAAATCCCCTAAAATATAAAAAAGGTGTTTGTAAAATATCAAAACTGTTAAATAACCTTGAGGAGCGTTAGCGAGTACGTGGAATGGTATATACGGAGGTAATGTTGTCATCTGAGTCGTTGGGCGTGTAGTGGTCGTAGTCATTGTTGTGGATGTTGTCGTGGGTGTGGTTGTGCTTGTTGATGTTGAAGTTGAAGTGGTCGTGGGCGTGGTCGTAGTTGTTGATGTCGTGGTGGGTGTGGTTGTAGTAGTTGATGTTGTGGTGGGCGTTGTCGTGGTTGTTGTCGGAGTAGTTGATGTTGTAGTAGGTGTGGTAGTTGTCGTAGATGTTGTTGTGGGCGTAGTAGTTGTAGTTGATGTTGTTGTGGGCGTGGTAGTTGTAGTTGATGTAGTGGTGGGTGTGGTCGTTGTAGTTGATGTTGAAGTCGATGTTGACGTTGAAGTTGATGTTGTTGTAGGCGTGGTTGATGTTGTCGATGGTGTTGTAGAACTTGTTGTTTGCGTTGAAGTAGAGGCTGTAGTAGGTGTTGTAGGCGGAGATAAAGGTAAACAATAGTATGTAACCTATGGAATGGATGAAAAAGCGCAATAAAAAACAAATCATAAAATAATCAAATTTAAGAAGAAAAAATGTAAATTTCAAAATATCATTAAGCCTCCAAAATGATAATAATAATAATTATAATGATAAAATTGAATAAAATGACATTTTACCCACAGATAAATATTTTACATACATTGTACTCCATTTTCCCGTCTTAAAAAATAATTAGGTAATCAGATAGTGAACATGTCAAGAAAGACAAAGTATGTTAAACTTGAAAAAAACGAATACCTGTAGATATTTAGCGATCCCCGGACATGGGTCTTTCACCTGGAGCCATGAGGTGGATGAAGTAATTATACAGGAACTCTGGTGATCGCAATAATTGTGAACTGTCTTATTGCTATTTGGACCGCCCACACAATGGAAGCTGCCGGACGGCAGATTGCTTGGATTGCATGACTGTGGATTGGTCCGCCCATAAAATACAGTGTTAATTAAAATTTCAAATCCCGGTGGGCATCGCAGAAAAGCTTTCTTTGGTGGACACACAAGCGAAGATTTTGCTCCTGTTTGAAATTGATAAATGTGGATAAAGTTACAGGAATGAACATTGAGGAACTGTTTTGTGTTTCAATTTAAGACAAATAATTAAATAATAAATTTAATATCATTTAATAATTGTAATACTTTCTTACTTATAATTGACTTTAGATATGTATATACAATAGACTTTAGATATGTATATACAATAATTATTTCCACTAGACAGGAATTAAATAATCGATATAATATAGAAATTGCGCTTAAATGCACCCGGCAAAAATACATTTTATGAGATTCTTTACCAGGTGGAAGTGTTGTTTGTGGCATTGTGGGAGGAGCAGTTGTCATTGTGGGTGTGCTCGTAGCTGTGGAAGGCGTCGTCGTTTTTGTTGTAGGCGTGGTTTTCTGTAAAACAACAAAGACATTAATAATATATATCGAAAGATTTACACAGATATAACTTGTATGTAAAAATGACCGAAATGTATGAATATAATTTCGAATAATGGACAGTAACGTAACACATATAAAGTAGTGCTTTGATGTAAATTATGGAATTATTTTTTAAAAAAGGAACAAGTTTTACGACACGCCAGGGTCTTTCAACTAGAATGGTCTGGATTCGCACCAATTTTACGAAAAAAAGATGTCTTGGCCGAGTCACGTGATTAGGCTGTCCATCGACCGTGATCTGGCACGGTACATCACCGCTCAAAAATTAAATTATAAAATAATGTGTTGTTAAATCGATCAAAAATTACTGAGAACAAATCCTGCCTACAATTCATTAACAGTTTTTACTTTGTATAGATTTGCATTGAAATTAGAATGTTTCGTTCCCGGTGTAAAGGTAAAAATCTACCGCTCATATTTGAAAATAGGTCCTAGTTTTATAAGCTTTTTTAAATTTATGCATTGTTCAATCACAAAATAAAGATTCATTTTACAAAGAAAAAATGTTATTTCATCCTATCATGTAAAGATTTTATAATATTTCACGGTCATATTTAGACCCTGGACACGCCTACACAACGCAACACTTCAAACCATTGGTTCGATTTTCGATATTCCAAGTTAGCGGAGAAAAAATGTTTGTATTCGGGACGTCTCAATCTCAAACCAAAAGTCTTGCATCTTTATCACACGGAACCTCAATAAATCGGCTATTTTTCCCCCCGCACTGTACGTATGTAAATTTGTATGAATCGCACGTAACTTGTTTAAATTGGAATTGTCACACTTAACATGTATAAATTTGAATATGTGCAATTGTTACACTGATACTGTTTAAACACGCATTTGCCATTGTTACTCGGTACTAACACAAATAACGACATTGTACCTCAAAGCATGTACGGAAACATATTTGTTACTCGGAACAAGTGTATTAATTATTAACGCGAAAATGATACACTAAGTAATAAATACGCGATTTACCTACGAAAAAAATACGCCTTATTGACAAGAAACCGTCTTGGCAGTATCAATTTTTATGAATGTTTTATAATAGTTATAAAAAAAAAATCGGCGGGGAAATTATACTCTATATAGAAAACACATAATATTCCAAGTCTACATCAGTTAGACCGACATTATTATTGTGAAGACGAATACCGTTGTTGGAGTAGAAGTTGTTTGGGTTGGAGTTGTCTTCGACAGAGTTGTCGTCGGAATGTCGCATGTGTAGCTAACTTGCAGGTATTTTGGAATTCCGGTACAAGGATCCGGACCTAGTTTTGTCCAATCGTTGGCGACTTTGCAGGATGGCTTACCGTTGCAAAGACCTTCGACGTATTTTGACGCGGCAGGTCCACCTTTGCAGTTTGCCCCGGTTACTACGGTGCCGAAGGGGTTGCACAATGTTGGTGGCGAAGGTGGTAATCGGCCCCATAGCACGTGGGTAATCCAGACAACTTTACCGGCGGGACAGGTGAAGGTGTGGTCTTTGGTCTCACATATAGTAATCTGAGCTGGGAAAATAAAAAGAAATATCACCGTTCACAAGATTTCTACGATAATCTTTACAAAACGTCAGCAAGGTCTAAATTTGACTTGCAAGACGTAACAAATAATCAAATACGTAAAAAGTAGATTCATTCTGATCAAAGTACTGAGTACTGAAATACAGATTAACTGGCTTTCTGTTAGCATTTTGTTTTAAAATAACAGACTAATTATGAAATGCTTATTTTCTATATGTATTTTTTGGTTATTTGAAGAAAAAAGCAACATTTTCATGGTGCTTGCTTACTTTCTTAAAAATCCAAAACGAGAAACAATTTCTGTTCTTTACTCGATATTTAGCAGTTTCATAATTCTGAAATTACTCGTTTCCGTCAAATCACGTGATAACATTTTACTCATTTTCAAATGAAAGTTTTTACATAATTGGTTATAATTACTTCACTCACTCTGTCTTGGCGATAAGGTTGTAGTCTTGTATGTTACTGCATTTGATGGCGTTGTCGTTTTTAGTGTTGTCGTCTGCTGTTTTGGTGACGTCACAACAGGTGTTGTTTTTGTTGTTGTTTGAGGAGAATTAGGGGGAGCAATTGTCGGGACAATACATCGATAGTCTACTTTCAGAAATTTAGGTTCACCAGGGCAGGGATCGCCAAGAAGTAAATACGAGTTTGTTAGGATACACTTTGACTTTGCCGCGCATTGTTTGTTAACGTAGTTATCAGCCTGTGTACCGCCGATACAATTATAGTTGGCGATGTTTTTGTTGTACGGGTTGCATGTTCTGTCCGGTAAAGCTCGAGTCCTTCCGTATAATATCGTAACAATATTGATTTCTTTTCCGAGAGGACATGTGATGGTTCCCGGCCCAAGCGTCTCACAGACGGTTATCGTCTGCAACGTTTGCGCAAGAGATTGTTTGCCACTCACAATCAACAGCACTGAAATATATACAATAATTTACATATTATCATATTGTAAACTTCCACCTTGTTTTAATAGTCACCTTTTAATAATAAAATACCGAAATAGCCGTTAGTACTATCGAGTCTTTTTATGTTTAATTCATTTAGCCAAACAAAATGTTTATTGTTTGAAGAAAGAAAGATACTTCTGAAAAACTTCTTTCTTTTCTGTCTTTCATTAAGAGAAAACAAAACACAAGAAACTAAAGTATGAAATACGAGAAAGATCCATTGGGAATTAAATTTTGTTACTGAAAATTTTTATTTTAATGATAAAAGTAATCCATATTCTTTGCAATAAATATATTGAACATGGTGCTAAAGTGAAGTGGCTTCAAGAAGACGGTGTATAGATACGGCATTGCTTCCTGTAGTTTTCCTCATTCCCTCATCAACGCTGGATGTTTTAATAACGAGCTGATGAGAAGTCATTTTAAAACGCAAGAAATTAAAGGAACTCCACTTGGGTCAAAAAGCCAAAGAAAATCAAATGTAAATTTTCTTTCATAGATCAATCTGGACACTTAAACAGAACAATATGAAAAAGATAATTAAAATATATATATGTAAATCGTGTGTTTGAGCTTTCATAGCCCAATGAATGAAAGCGTTATTTTGGGTCAATTTTGACAAGTAAGATAATTATTTAGAAAAAAAACGGTAAGAGCGAACTATCTCAAATTTTGCACAATAGTTCATTTATGGTAAGTACCCACTTAAAAAAATGTTTCCGACTCCGTCATGTCACAAAAACAAACTCAGTGGAGTCCCTTTTATATTTAGCATTTGAAATATTTTTAAGCTAATTAATGTCATATATTACTTACGGTAAAAATAAAAGGTCGTTGACTTTGAATGAGTTGACCCTTACCGCTGTGAGGTTCGAATCCCGAAAGGGGTATTGGATTCTTTCTTTCTTTCTTCGTTAAGAAAGATAGAAGGTCAGTGGTTTTACTCAGGCCACGTGCCTGAAATAATATATATACGGAGGGCCACTTGAGGTACTTTACCAGTAAGGCTGGAAAATCACCTCTTTACCTTTACAGTTTCAGATGGATTTAGAATTTAGCCAAAAGGTGAATAATATCTATTGATATTTTTACCATGGTTTTTATCAATCAAGGAACAAAATTAGTCACTCTACAGCGTTATGATATTGAGAATTATTATATTTTATTTGAAACGATTTACTCGGTTAAATTTAAAACACAAAAGGCCATCGATAAATGTTTACATAAGGAATAAATAACTGGACATATAAATATTTAGTTTTCAACTCCAATATGTTCATATTCAATTAGAAAAAAAGTAACACTGAAAATCATATAACAATCTTACCATGGAGTATATAGTCCAATACCCTAGCCATATTTGTCCTATTTTATGGGATGATTTCCAATATTTGCTCGTTTTATATGGCCGACATGTATAGGTACATGTATACCCGTATTTGTAGAAACACTCTAGGGGCAAACTTTGGTATCAACAGCTCGTCAGATGGCGCAAACAAGGTCATTGAAAATCCGCCAAATTCCCGGTGTATGGGGCAGTTTAGTTCGAGTCTGAGAATGTACCCAAAAAGTAGGTGTGGACCATGTTGATAAGAGATAAACAATCAATTTATTAACATTTTACAATATGCTGTAACGCACTCCCTACTTTCTTAAGAAATAGAAACATTTAAGTTCAAAATTTGTCATTGTCACTAACTAAAAAAAATGTATAAAAAGTCAATTGTCGTTTGCTGGTTTATAACATGTTACACGCCTGTTTTGTACTATTAAATTAAGCTTATTTAACCGAATTATCGTTATTTCAGTTGTTAACATGCAATTTTCAAGTATGTTGAAATTTAATTTTAAGTTTACATTTTGATAGGGTCCCAGGTCATATCACAAGGGCTTGAGATAATTGGTAACTTAAAAAACTACAGATTTCGAATCAAGTCGTTGAATTATAACAACACAGTTACAGTACAGTTACAGTACAGTACAGTTACAGTACAGTTCAGTACAGTACAGTACAGTACAAAACAGTGCAATACAATAACAATAAGAGTGTGAATGTAACATTTTGCGTGCATTTTGCGTGCATTAACATCTGCAGAAGGACGCATGTGCATGGGATTCTATAGATTCTTTAATATATTCAGGTTTTTATGCAAGATTAATTAATCAATCATGTGAGGTATTTGGCGGCTTCACAATTAGCTCCAATTTGACTTAAAATCATATCATCTTATATTTGAACTGAAGCATAAAGCGTAGTATTATTTATTTTTTATCAGAAAGGTTCCGCTCGCACCTGCAATATTTTTATCGAATACAGCAAATATTATTGTTATTGGACACGCATAGCCCATAGTCCTTTTCCCGAAGTATGGCGGGAAGAGTTGGAAAGGTGCGATTGAGCAACGAGGATCGCGTGCATCAACACCGTCGAAATGGGTTGATAACTTAATACCTAACCAAAAACTAAATATTATCGTTTGAGTAAAAACAGTTGGTGGTAATTTATTTAAACAATTCAACATAAAAATCGATAGTCAATTTACTCGTGTACGTGATATATTTGCCAGCGAATCCATGGTGCAGTGGCAACGCGCTAGATTAGTAAGTGCTCGCAGATTCGTACCAGTAATACTAATGGACGTTTTCGGGAGAGATCTGGACCCACCTCCCCCCCCCCCCTCCCCCCCCCCCAATCACATGTATCGGTGCCATATACGCGACATGTAGAAGAATAATGTCACTTTCCTCTGAAACGGGCAACTACTGTACACACTATACGGATGTAAATAAACAGAACAAAAATAAAACCGATACAGAAATTCATGAACAAATCGCACATAATTTTTAAGTATAGTAATATTGGATCATGCTTTTTTTTAGATATTTGTATATTATGTTTTTTGTATCTAAACAAAAGAGCAGTTTCGAGTGTAATCAGTGTTAACTTTGACAGCAAATGCACAAACTGTACAAAATTTAGGATTTTTTTAAAACATAAGTTATCAAGCTTATACATGTATTATACTTCTTACTAGTTACTTGATAACTATTTTTTAATTTAAATTTCATTCAGTAACGAACTCATGCTTGATCTAAAATGTTGACGCTATGCCGATAAAGAGACGAGATTTCACTCATCTTTGACTAAATTTTTTAATTGCAAGTGATACAAATTTGAAAAAAATACGTAATGATAAAGAAATGACAAATTGAAGTCAGGTCCGGTTCATTAAAATATATATACGAGTATTTATTATACTATTCATGTAAAATATTCTTTTAAATTTAGAAATATTTCAGGAAAGACAGTAACTCAAAATATGAACAGTCTTTAGTACATATAGAAGCCGTTTGACTATGACACCTATAAAAAAGAAGACGGAAGTTAAATTTAAAGATTTCGGAACCCAAAGAGAAGAAATGGGTGAAAAGAACTAGAATACTCTTCTGTAAGGGAGGTCAGAAGGAGAAGTCGTGAGTTATGGAGTGGCTTGTTTGTCTGCGGGAAGCATCCTATTGAAAAGACTTCTGAAATAAACATGCATAAACTCGTTTTTAGAAATGAGGTTTAAATTGAAATAAATTGTCATATAATTCTTATTTGTTTATACCGCAGGATCATCTGGTGCAAAAAATCATGTATGTTTGACGCTTGAAAATGTGGGATTGCAGCGGGGATGATGGTCACAATGGTCCAGAAGCTTGATTGAGTGTGTATTTTTTGTAAACTTTCTACTTTTGACTACTTGCTTGGTGATGTTTGATCCTTTCATAGATAGTGAATCATTCACGAAGTCTTTTGTTGGGAAAATAGTAATTACTGCACTTCACAAAATATATCCTTAATTCTTAAAGTCTCTTATCGACATAACGATTCATTTAAAGTACCGCTGTCATCTTTACGATTAAGAAAAAAAATTTTTTATAATACATTGGTATTATTCGCACGGAGAGATATAGTAATATTCTAAATTCTTGAATTTGCTGAAACAATGTCAAAAAACAATCCGGAATATTATTTCAAATCAAGTCGTTAATGGCCTTTAATAAGACAATTTTATTCTTCTCCTTAAGAGCTTTTAAAGCTTTCAAAATATAACGAACACTTGTGTACAGGAACTAATTTATGCCTTTGTCTTAACCTTAAGAAGCTCTTTTCCCTTTGATATTCCGTGATATATTTTTTGCATTTGATTAACCGCATTTATTACATAAATTAGTATGTAGTTAATTCTTTTATTCTAATCTAAATTGTGACGGTGGGGAAATGCTGAATCATCTATCCTCTACATAACTGCATCATCATCAGCATCATCATCATCATGATCATCATCAGCAGCAGCAGCAGCAACAACAACAGCTTTATCATCATCATCATCATCATCATCATCATCATCATCATCATCATCATCATCATCATCACCATCATCATCATCATTATCATCATCACAAGCATCATCATCATCATCATAATCATCATCATCATCAGCAGCAGCAGCAGCAGCAACAGCAGCAGCAGCAACAACAACAGCCTTATCATAATCATCATCATTATCATCATCATAAGCAGCATTATCATCATTAGCAGCAGCAGCAGCAGCAACATCATCAACAACTGCTTTATCATTGTCATTGTCATTATAAATTTTATCAGCAGAGCCCCATCAGCATCATCATCATTATCAATTTTATTATCATCATCAGCATCAGCATCATCATCATCATCATCAGCAGCAGCAGCAGCAGCAGCAGCAAAGGCAACAACAATAAAAACATAATTATTCTTTGCATATTGCGCAAAAATATTTGCATTGAACAAATTATGTCACTGTTAACTTGGTGTTGCAATATGGCGACTTATTAGCATTCTTCGCTCTGAAACGCTGCTTCAATCTGGACTGATTGAACAACAATAAAACTGATTTAAACAATAATAACATCATTATCATTGTTATTATCATCATCATCAACATCATCATCATCATCGTCAGCGTCGTCATAATCATCACGAATCATTGGAAATTAGCGTCATTATAAACATTATCATCATCATTATCGTCGTCATCGTCATCATCATCATCATTATCATCATATGACTTGAATGGTGTGCCGCTGTTCTTATGAATGTTATGTTTAGAAAACTAGATCTTGTAGAAATCGAATTTGGATAGATAATAAATATAACAGAATGTGTGGCCCTGTGAATATGACCATAAGTTCTAACGGGGTATTTTTATGTAAATAGCGCGTTCTTAACAAATTGCATGTTTTTCACGTGTAAAGGAGTAGGAGGCTTGCACTCTGGAAAATAGATAAAGTAATCTTAAATATCATTATGTATGGGGCTGCCTTTATAGAAATTAATTATTATCTATTAAAACTTAATTTGTTTGAAAAGATTACATGAAGAGTGTAAGCTATTAATCTCAGTTCCTTTATGTAATGCAAAACATGTTAGTGTATATACATGTATAAAAGGGTAATTGCATAACATGTATATATAAAATAAATATCATCATACAGATCAAAGGGACTACATTAAGGCTTTTTGGCACGAAGGAACCGAAAATACTTTTTCAAGATATATATATTTTTGACCTCAGTTAAGTTCCTATAATAATTACAGATCTAAAGATGAAATGTGTATACTGTCAGACATGCGGACAGACGTATGAACGACCATGTACAAGTTCAATTGCAAAATTATTTTTATTTCAATTTTCCTGCACTAATGATTTTCTTTATAATAAATTTCTATTGTGCCTTACCTAAAGAGAAAAATATATAAAACAATACAGCCGTACATTTGAACTTCACGGCTTACTTAATTTCTTTTGTTAATATGAAACTCAAAACTTTTGTTTTATATAAACAGATACTTAACGACAAAGTTTTCACTTCTTTTCTAGTCTTTAATTTGCAGGATAGATATAACATTCGGGATGTTTTGGCGTTCATTCTGTATCCTGTTCTTCTTCGCGGGAGGTATGTGAGTTTAAAATTATTGCTTTGTTACAATATATATTATTCATTTATTTAGTTTTTCATATATCTTTTATTGTATTGCTTATGCATATTTTTAAAGCTCGATTGCGAAACAAGTTCTTACAACTTATATCAACCAAATCAACCAAATTTTCGAGTGTGCTTCCTGGAACCAACCAGTACTGGTGTGATATGAAGAAACATGGTCGTGACCCATGAACCCTGGGTTGACACGCAGACACCTTAACCATTAGGCTACACCACTCCACTTCATTGAATATCGTCTTTTCATGAAATACATAACGTTAGAAAAATGGAATATGAACACGAACAGCGGGTGGCGGGGTGGGCGTGGGGGAGGTCTCATCTCTGCATTAATTCCGGTAGTAGTAAAAAAAAAGATCAGGAAGCTGGCGGCTTAGTAAATCAATAGCATATGTCACACGCTTAAATGCACATTATGCCTCAGAAACAAATAATTTATTTCTTCTTTAGAAAGGGCAAACATGAGAATGTTAGATGCGTGTAACCTGAAAAAGTAGAGATTAATGTGAAATAATTTGTCATAAAAGAAACAAAAGACTTCCATACAAAATACCAATTCACTATAAATGTACTTATTGCAAAAAAAAAGCAACAGATGAAAAAGATGGTTCAGGTAATTGGCCAATGAGTATTATTTTGGATACTATCAAAGTACACCAAAATTTAAAAACGTTTGAGAAATAAAAATTGAAGCATTTCTTAGGCATAATGGGCCTTAAATCGATCAGTTTTGAATTTTTGTCAAGATCAACTTTTACATAAACCGCATGTTTAGATTACAAACTTTAGTGTGTCATGACCCTACTCATGGTATGAATATAGACAGATATTTCAAGCTTAGGAAAAGAGTGGTATGGATTTACATAAAATACTTATAAGGGTCTTGAATGTCAAAAGAAAGGGCAAGCGGTTTAAATGGTAATATATACAACGGTCTTACAAGACGGTCTTTGTAAGGGCTAACAATTCTAATATCTATGCCTATTATCTCAGATAACTGCCTTTTATTTCAGATAACTTCCTATTATCTCAGAGAAGTGAATTTTATCTCGGATACACTTACTATTTCCATTTTATTGTATATTTTTATTTAGGAAAATGATATTTTAAAGTTGAAATATTACAACTGAATGGGAGTATATCTTATGGTTATTAAATTTTAACGCAAATTTTATTATTCATCTTATCTCCTATATTCCAATTTAACACAATATAGATAGTCGTAATCTCAAGCCAATTTCCGTGACTTTTAAATACATTTAGTAAATAAGCCGTTATATGACCATAGTTATTTTTCATACAGAAAAAAAAGTATAAAAATATATAAAGTATCAGTTTATATCACGATGTGGTAAAATTAAGTATAATATAGCAATTACTTTATATGGCCATGTCACGAAATAGTAAAAACTAGTACAAATCAGATAACCTCGTGTTTCGGTGCTCTTTCTATTACTTATTTGTTCTAAGGCATTTGACTACTCTAGACAACTAATTTTCGGTTTTTCTTTTTATTTCCAGCTTGTTCTTGGTGAGTAAGTTTTTATCTTGCATATGACATTTCTGTAATAATGTTGGTTCCCAGATAATTCAACAACTGTTTTTCTTTTGAATTAATTGTTTCAATTATTATAAAAAATATGTGGCCATGATTTCTTTGAATTATAAATATTGTTACTAGTTTATTTCCTAGCGCATGTTGTCAAGACAGAAATTTACGGTTATTTGAGTACAAAGTCTAATACAGTATATATATATATTCATTTATCATGACTATGGATTTGATCGGGAAACTTCCGGCTCTACCGGTGACAAATAGCTAGAACTTCTAAGTTATGTGTCTCTATACTTATTTTCTTTCTTTTTTTCTGCGCATTTCTGAAAATTTTCGTTATATTTATTTATTTAATTCTGAAACCAAATTTCTTGCAAACTTGACTTTTTTTCAAATTATAAATTATCAAATGAGCGAATCATAAAAAGCGCATGCGCAATCAGTAACAACATACATAATATATCTTCCGAACCCTCGAAAAATAAGTAACAAATACGAAAAATGACGAAGATATCCGAATTTCTACGACCCAGTTACAAATTTTATATTTCTGTGGCTTAATTTAAATTGTTTTCATTTTCACAAGTACGGAGGATGACGCGCTAGGTTCGGACAAAACGGCAGACAGCCAGGTGAAATATGATGGTGGGTGGGGGTAATTGCTCTTATTGGCCTTGTTCTCCTGGTCTTGCTATGTTCAGATACCGTGGAACCAGGTATTATTTAACGCATTATTTATAACATTTTTTATTACAATTATGCTTTGTTGTGTAAGATTTAGTTTAAATAATATTTATTTATAAAAAAATAAGGTAACATGAAATAAAATTTACGGATTGAGTAGGAAACTTGAAAAGCTTTTTTTGAAAAATCTCTCCGCGTTTAAGATTTAATATAACATAATTATATGTGAACTGTACTTTTTATGTTTGAATAAAATATTATATGATTTTATGTTACGTTATGTTGTGTTGTGTTGTGTTGTGTTATGTTAAACATTTAGAAATCATGCTAAACATCAACATTTCGGAAGCTAGGTAGATGTGCTTTTATAATTTTTAAGATATTTTTATTCATCTACTTTTCTTATAAGAAATTACTACGCTTATTTTAACAGCTGTACCTCCACCGTCATGGGCAGGGATTGTACATATTGATAATTCTATAAACACTGGATTTAATGGCGTCTCGGACGGTATGAGGATACTCGATCCCAACTCAGTGCTTCGGACCCGTAAGGGTGATTACGAGGCAGACGGTGCACGCTGGGGAGCACGTGAGTTTATTTTTTAGTTTATCTGAGTGAGTGAGTGAGTGAGTGAGTGAGTGAGTGAGTGAGTGATTGTGTGAGTGAGTGATTGTGTGTGTGAGTGAGCGAGCGAGAGTGAGTGAGTGAGTGAGTGAGTGAGTGAGTGAGTGTGTGTGTGTGAGTGAGTGAGTGAGTGAGTGAGTGAGTGAGTGAGCGAGCGAGCGAGCGAGCGAGCGAGCGAGCGTGCGTGCGTGCGTGCGTGCGTGAGTGAGTGAGTGAGTGAGTGAGTGAGTGAGTGAGTGAGTGAGTGAGTGAGTGAGTGAGTGAGTGAGTGAGTGAGTGAGTGAGTGAGTGAGTGAGTGAGTGAGCGAGCGAGTGAGCGAGCTGCGTGCGTGAGTGAGTGAGTGATTGTGTGAGTGAGCGAGCGAGCGAGAGTGAGTGATTGTGTGAGCGAGCGAGAGTGAGTGAGTGAGTGAGTGAGTGAGTGAGTGAGTGAGTGAGTGAGTGAGTGAGTGAGTGAGTGAGTGAATGAATGAATGAATAAAGGAATGAATGAATGAATGCCTTTAGAGTTTGTCTCATATACAGCAAATTATATATTTACAGAAATGGTTTACTTGTAAGGCTCCGATCTTCCCATAGGATGGGGGAATCAATGCGTTTATCGCCTAATAGCACTGTAATGTTGGTCAATGTGTTAAATGCTTTAAGTAAATGCCATCACCTACATATGTATCTTACTTAAATATGTTGGGCTCTTGGGATTACTTTAAAATCAAATAATTTCTGTAAATAAATATTGTAAATTCAGTTTACTAGTATTATGGCGCACGACCTGCACATATATTTTATAATGTAGAAGCTTAAATCTAGCATGTTTATCATTATTATTATTATTATTATTATTATTATTATTATTATTATCATTATTATTATTTACTTAGCGTTGAAAACAGGAAAGCACATGTTCGAGATTCTATTGGCCAAGAAAATACCCGCCGGCTACTGGCAACCGTCGCGTGGGCACTGATATCGCTCCGTTATTTGTGAAACCAAAAGAGTCGTTGGTTTGGTTGCAACAAGCACACGTGGGTTTAGATATCGGGCCCGTTACAAGTGTTTGCACAGGAATGAAATAATAACGAGTCTCCCTAAGAATAAAGTAGTTCCGGACACGTAAGTATTATACATAAATAATAAAAATAAATCAATTCCTAAAAACATGGCCCAAAAAAATCCGTAACGTAAATAGAAAATGTAAGAGATTCGGATATATAGAGAACAGCGGTTGAAATAATAATATTTGCGAGTTGACACGAAGGCCCTATTACTTCCGGTGTATTCACATTTCACGAAAAGAGACCTTATTCCTGAAATAGAAAGGGCTTCTTTAATTTGATTAATAACTATATAAAGTATGTTACGGTAAATGCTGTCAATGAGCTCCCTTTGAAACTTTTCTTAATTCTTTAAAGCTGGCTTGAATATCCTGCTTGTAAAGAGAACATTCCGTTTACGCATGTTTGTCCAGTAGATTTATTTCCGGTTTGTTCACATTTCATAATACCCAAAGTGACTTTTTAGTGACTTCGCGACCTCTAAAGTTTCTATAGTGTAAAACGTTATTGTAAATATTTTGGCATAGTTCTTAATTACTTTCGTTTAATTTGTAGGCGTCGCTGGTATTTCACGGTTTTATGTTGTGACGAATTTTGTACTTAATATTCATGAAGATAGTAGCTTAAGTTGTAAAAATACTGAAGCTCAAAAAAAAATATTATCAAGTGAAACACTTCCAAAAAATATTTACGGTCGATGATTTTTTATCGTCAATTATTGTACTTATATTTCTTCAAACAACGGATGGATTCTCGAATAAAAATCAGATAAAAAGCGGTGCACTTTTCTTACAGATTTCGCATGTACGTAGATTGTGAAAGTGGAACGCTGGATTCGGAAGTGAACATGTTTACTGGGGAGCTCCCATCAACATTCCTCGGTCTGAGTTTCCGGTTTATCCGATGGTTGGAACTACACCAGCACAACGGCCGTGATTACTATGAAGTACAAAGGATCAGGTTAAACATTCTAACATTTAATCGAAAGTAAACGTATATAATGTTAGTCTATCCTGCCAAGAATAGAAGCATCTCGAATGATGACTATCCCTGACTTGATTGTGATCGCTTATATCAAAGCATTTATTGATGGTCGTCCATTTTGTTATCATGTGGTATTAAAAATCCCCATTTTGATTGGTCAGGCGGTGTGCGGGTAGAAATGCAATCGCAAACTAACTCGGCCCTTTCCGTCAAGTCTTCGGATAAGGACTCGAATACACAGAACGGATGAGGTTTTCGATCTAACCTACGCTAAGAAACTAAACATGTAAACAAATAGTAATTTAATGCTGGGAGTTTGTTGACAAGTTTATTTTCAATATATGTAGTAAAAGTTCACCTAAAATAAGTGAATTCATAGGTACAAAAGCAAACAATACATTATCTATATATTAATTATTATGGTTGCAGAAACCGAAAGTACAAAAAAAAAACAACCTGTTGACATTTGTCGGATTTGTTTAAAATTGAACATCAGTGGGCATTGTAACACCGCACTTTGGGGTCAAACGCACTTTGGGGTTCGACCCCAAAGTGCGTTACGTACTTTGGGGTCCGACCCCAGAGTGCGTTACGCACTTTGGGGTCCAATTTTGACCCCAAAGTGCGTTAAACAGGTACATATGCATTTTTTAACATCATACAAGCGACCGCGACTTTTTGGGGTTATTAAAATTCAATCAATAAAATGAATTCTAAAATGATGTTTCAAATAGTATATTGCAGTCAAAGCCAATGGTAAACAAAACACAAGGTATTGAATAGAGGAAAAACTTGTGTCCTGAAATATAGTAGAAACAAGGATTTTAAATGAGTGAAGAACTTTCATCAAGTAAAGAATTTGTATCAATTTATAAGCTCAAAATATATTTTTTCTCACATTTCCCATTTATTTCAAAAGAATGTACACCTTTCATTAACTCCATTGTTTTTAGCTTATTGCATCATTTTCCCGTTTATTTTTATTTATACATTTTTTTAGAAATATAATAGTCTTAGCATAGACAAAGGTATAAATTCTGGGAAATCTGAATAAGACATTTCAGTAAAAATTGTGCCTGGATTATATGTTGAAAATGGCCATTTTGTTTAGCTTATCTAAATGTGACATTTAAGAAACTTGACTAGGTGTAGATCCGGCCTTAAGTAGTTTGTCCGTACAGATATCATAAAAACTATTTAAGTAGTCACACATTCATAATGAAAGGACTGTAAGCTCTGTTGTATTTTCTAATCTTTACAACTAAATCGTAACAGTATATTCTGTATGCATTTTCCTGTATAAGTTTATTTTTATATATACTACAATTAATCTTGCAGGGCACCGAGATGCAGTGACTGCGTTTATAATTTTTTACTGTAACAGTTTGAGTTTGATACATTTACGGAATTTTGCATGACCAGAGTTGCATCAAAAATCATTTATGTTAATCTTTTTATAACAGCCACACTTTATCATTGCATATCGTGGCTTAAAAAAAAGACACTTAAAAAAATAGTTGTCCCGACTGGGATTTGAACGCCAGACCACTCGCACCTTGGACGAGCACGTTACCCCTGCACCAGGGGGAAGTTATACTGAAAACTGAATACATAGAATTTTAGGGTTTGTAATCCTAATTAATTTCGATGTATTTTGTTCACGATAAACCTGTTGTTTAACACTGATGTAAATAATTTAGCAAAAATTCACTCGCCAAAACAGTCTGACATGTATATATTCACTAATCGACAGTCAGATTTATCTGAAGTATTCGGTAATCGACATCGCAAAAAATAGCATTTTCATTGATTAAAATGATATTCATCCGCGTAATTTGTGATTGTGCATTTATTTGACAATGCTATAAAGCCAACGTTGTAATTTGTTGGAAACTTGTAACAAAATAAAAATACTTCTTTCTTTTACATCGCTAATTTTAAGCTGTTTTGAGAACTACTTGTTGTTATGTTTGTCGTGAAGCGCTGTGCCAGAGATTGAATGTCAGCATTGCGATCAGAAAATACAATAATGTAAAGTTCTCATAAGGGGGGTCCAGACGGGATGGTTGGGTCCCGATCCCCCCGATATTATAAAAATAATGTTTGAAAGGCAAATTGTGCTTTTATTTGTATTTCTTAAGCTTTTTTTAATTTTGGTGTACTTCAATAGTATCCAAAAAGTTACTCATTGGCCAATTATCTGAACCATCTTTTTCATCTGTTGCTTTTTTGCAATGAGTACAGTTATAGTGAATTAGTATTTTATATGGGAGTCAAATACTACATTGTTTACATTTTGCTACTTTTATGACATTTTTTTCCACATTTATCGCTACTTTATTCAGGTAACAAGTGTAAATTTCTCTGATGCTATTATTTAAACTTTAAAATATTGATGTTTTGCCATTTCGAAAGAAGTATGTAAGATTTTCCATTAAAAGCATCTGGCGAACGGTTGTTACGGAGCTTACAAAAAACTTAAGTTTGTTGATAAATTTAATAATGTATTAACTAATTAATGCACTAACTATTTATAGTCTGATCTAGAAACTGGATATTTCACCAGAACATTGCAATAGAGTATTTTATAGTTTTTTTTAAAAAAATATTAACTGCATTTTGTTTCATCCCCATCATATTTAAAATTGGGCTTAATATGGCACAAAAAGTTATGATTGACAGAAAATGATATTTTTTCGCAGCATTTTTTAATTTTAGGATACATTAATAATTTATGTACTAAATTAATTTGTTATATGGACAAAATTTTAGATATTTCAAGTGGTAAAATTAATGAAACTTTTATCACTCAAGCATCAAACCGCAATCTTGAACTCCACCTCAAATATTTCAATGTCGCAGATCGAAATCAGTCAGAACTCAGTATTTAAGCAGAACTCAGTTGACACCTTCAGAATTTTTGAACCCAAAGTGCGTTGATATGTAGCATAATAACGCACTTTGGGGTCAATTTCTCGATTTTGACGCCAAAGTGCGTTGGGCCCCAAAGTGCGGTGCGAAGTGTAACGCACTTTGGGGTCGGACCCCAAAGTGCGTTTGACCCCAAAGTGCGATGTTACAGGGCATATTTAAATTACAAATTGTTGTCAGACATATTTTCAATCATAAGAGTACCGGAACAGACATTAGATGTCAAAATTTCTGTTTACATCTGAAACCACGTGGTAGAACTACTTTCAATCCGTATTGTTTCCGAGGTTATTATAGATAATAGCCGAGGCAGTTCCGAATGGGTAGAAATGGTAAAGTCTTGTTAATTATATATGTGGCCGTCCAGGAACGACGACAGTTATGATAATAAATACCTGTTACTTCTGATCATTGTAAAAGTTTTGCAAGTTAATACGTTCAAACTTGCATTTTTAGAGTAACAGGAAGTAGATGTGTTACAACAGAGTGACGTGAAATGTGTACTACTAATATAAACCATAAAAAGAACGCCAAAATAAGGATGAAAATAATATTAAATAAATGATGAAACGTGATCATTAAAACAGTGAACATGTTTGGCCACTGAACAGTATCGTTTGTCCCTTAATTATGTAGATAACGCTGTATTGCCCAAACCCTATTGAGCATTGATAGTGAGCCCCTTTAAAAAACTTTTTTGCAAGATGTTAAATTGTATTTTTAGCGCTCAATACAATGGGAGACACAGGCTACAATCTTCCAATGCCAGTACCAATTCCGGGACCAGTAGTGGGGCCGCTTGTGCCACCAGGACAGGTAGTGGTGCCACCGGCACCAGTTGTGCGGGACCGCAAGGAGCAGGAGAGAAAGTTCAACCGGGACCTTCGGACAGCTCCGAAACGTACATTGCTCCTATGCGCGTTTCTGGTATATAACAGTAATATAACACTGGTAC